TCTCGATCGACATCAGCGTCGGGGGATTCAAGAGTCCGAGAGATCCGATAATACATAAGCATCTAGACCCTAAAAGGGCAACACCGAGGGGAGGAAAAACAAATCAATGGCGTGCGTCTTTTTAATACTTACCTATGTAAGAGACGCCCGGTGGGTAATGTGAGTTACATACCCAGAGGTAGCATTGATGGCGCTCAGTGGCTGCAGTGTCCACGCGCGGCCACGGGACTTGGAGGCTTTTTGCTGCTGCTTGGCGTGCCCCACTTTCCATGCAACCTCGCGATGATGACGGCCCTTGAAATTCCTCTTGCAGTTCCTTTGTTGGGCGCTTCTTCCCTATTCTGTGTATGTACTGCTGTAGGTACTTTGAACACTACACTGGATGAATCATGATGTGTAGATGCCTGTCACCTCAGACGGCATCCCATTTCCGCTTGCTGACCACCCGCAAAGATCAATCCATTTCGGTGCTGTCCGATGGTCTGTTGGTGAAACGCTTGCAGCGCCAGGCAATACGTGCCCTGGTCGATAAATCCCCGACGAAGCGTAGGGTTGCAAAACGGCTATGACAGTTGCAACCGCGTTCTAAATTGCACTGGACTCCTGTGGCCACAGCTTGTATGATGTTTGTTTCGAGTGATGGTGCGAGCGCAAGTGCATGCCGGCATCGAAGTACTGTAGTATGTACCTACGTGAGAGCTCCGACTGCTGGGACCGTACGCGTTCCACACAGTCTGCCGTGACTGTCCAGGTACATGCCCACTGCCAGGGCGGGAAGGAGCGACGTCGGTCGGGCTTGTGCTTGTGACGTTTCTCGCTGCAGTGAGACTGCAAGGAGCGACCAACATTTTATTACCGTACATGCCCTGCCTTACAATGTGGTACGTAGAGGTAAAGCCCCAGCTTTTGAAGCTTCGGATGGCTCGGAGTCGCGAACACCTCATGATCCCGAACATCGATCGGGACCTTCTAATGTATCAGGAACGACATCACGTACCATGAACCGTCAGGTACCATTGGCACAGCATTAGTGTATCACTAAACCTCCCACAACGGCAACCGGGCAGCAACAATGGAGACGAGCTGGTCACGGTTCCGGGGGTCGGCTGGTCTGACTCGACGCCGTGCCGTCCGTGGTGTTGAAAAAAATGTAAGAAAGTCTTGGATGGTACCGGATGGTCTTGTCGTTGCCCTGGGCCGGCCACATTACCAATCAGTGGGGACCGGTGAAGATTCTATACACTACACAGACTTGTTCCATGATGGAGGCCGAGCTTTGTTAGGTATCCTCCCTTCCCGATCTGTGATCCCCTACCACATACCCTTGACCATGCACAAGCTTCCCTGCTCTTCTACGGGGTGCCTCCATGGAGCGAGCAAGATATATCATTCTCGTCACCATCATGTTATGTTTTTTTTTTCTAGCCTGTCTCTTTTACTTCCGATCCTGATATGTCGATAAAAACCCAGAGAACCCCCCTGTTTGCTGTCCATGTTTTGATAGCCACTACTCGACTCGCCTTTGTCTACATTGTCCCTCGATCACATTCACCACGGTAGATTGGGAAGACCGACAGCTTCCGATCTGCTCATCCTTAACCTTCTCCGTCACCACCTCGCCAGCCTCGCTCAGTTGAATGTGCTCATCTTCATCCCATCTTAAAAACTAGACCCAAGTTTCTGCACTCTGACCTCATTCATCATAACGACTGAAAACTAGACGGATTTGGACCAGATGAAGTCCGTTACTACAAGGCCGCTGCTTGCAGCGCTAACTGGCGCCGCGGTTCTGGGACTGCTCGTTCCGACTGTCCTTGCGCACGGCGGCGATGACGGCGGCCATAGCGGTCACGGGGGCATGGAGATGACTGATGCCGACAAGCCCCGGCCCGAGGAAGAGTACCCTCTCACATACTTTGCGCATCCCGATCACAAGACCGCCATCTACGCACACATCGCCCTGATGGTTCTTGCCTGGGTTTTTATGCTCCCAGTTGGTAAGGATTACACCGCCCTCCGGCATCTGGGCGTGCAAAAAGGAAAGGAGAGCTCCAGAATGCTGACCGAAGCGACCCATAGGTGTCATGCTCTCTATTGCCCGTTCGCGGTATAGGCTTTTGGCGCAATTCGCTTTTCTCGTGACCAATGCGGGCGGCATGCTCATTGGTATCGTCTACAATGCCAGCACACCGGATCTGTATCCTAACAATGCCCACCACAAGCTCGGATGGGTTGTCACCTGGCTCGTTGGGGCCCAGTTCGCCATTGGCCTTTTGGCGAGTGTTGCAGGCGTCTTCAAGAAGCAGCAATCCGACGGCAACAGCAGGGAGCGCCAGGGCTTCATGCCCGTCTCGACCCAGGCCATGGAAGAGCACAACAGCCACATCAAGCCCGCCGATCATGACGCTTACCGATTCTCCAACGACAGCGGCCAGGGAACCGAGCTTTCCAGCGATGTCCCGCGGAGTCCCTCCCTTTCGTCTAGCTCCGGTGACGTTTCTCGACAGCCCCTCGCTCTCCAAGATGTCAACCTGCATACCAAGGAATATGATGACGGCGATGACTCGTACGATGTCAACTCCCACAGCGGCAGCGAGCCTCTTGGACCTATCCTTCCTGCTTCCGGCAAGGCCGTCTCTACCATTAAAAAGATTGCCGATAAGATTTCTGGGAAATTCTGGAAGGTTTTGATCCTAGCGTACAATGTGGTTGACCGGGCTATTTTGCCCCTGGGTTTCGTTGCGTTGTGCACCGGTATCGTGACTTATGGCCGTTTCTTTGTTAGTCTTCACCCCCTTTCCCTCGGTCGGTTTCATTAAGGTGCTGCAGCAAGGTGCTCTGGGATTAGAGGCTAATATGTTGTTCTGATTGTAGGAGGGCTCCGGTATCTTCTCTGGTCTCGCTCACTGGATTAAGGGCGGCATCTTCTTCTGGCTGGGTATTTTCACCCTTGGCCGTTGGGCCGGCTGCTTCGGTGAAGTTGGTTGGGTACGTATTTATTCCCTGTTGATTTTACAATATCTGCAACAGTTGAAATTTGCTAACGATACCCCAAGGCTTGGAACGTGCGCCCCAAGCAGGCAGGCCAGAAATGGCGACCCTCTGCCGAGTTTGTCGAAAGTGCCTTGATCTTCACCTACGGCGCCACCAACGTCTTCTTGGAGCATCTCGGCAACTGGGGCGGCGCATGGTCGGCTCAGGATCTTGAGCACTTCTCCATCACCATTCTCTTCATTGGAGGTGGCCTGTGCGGCATGCTCATCGAATCTGTTCGCATCCGCGACCTGCTCAACACCACCGTCACCGAGGAACCCCGCCAGCAGCATCACTTCCATGACGCGGAAGTCGAAGACTCCGAGAGACGCGAGCCTGAAACCTACTCCTTCAGCATGAACCCCATCCCTGCCTTAGTCATCCTCCTCCTCGGCATCATGATGTCCTCGCACACCCAAGACAGCATGATCTCCAGCATGGTGCACAAGCAGTGGGGCAACCTGCTTACCGGCGCCTCCTTCGCGCGCGGTTTTACTTATGTTATCACCTACCTGAAGCCGCCCCGGTCCGTGTACCCTTCGCGCCCGCCGACGGAGCTCCTCACGGCCTTTGGGTTGATCAGCGGCGGCATCATCTTTATGGCTAGCGCGGGCGACACCGTCAGCGGCATGATCCATTATCAGCTTGATGCCATGTTCACGTACACCGTCACCATGGGCCTGGTTGGGCTGCTGATGGCGTGGGTCATTCTGTGTATTGCGCTCAAGGGATGGGCGGTTCGCAAAGAGGCGGGGCGGTATCGTGATTGAAAGGGGCTTGTCCAAGCTCGTTTCATGCGATACAAAATTCTCTGTTTCCGAGAACATCGCTCGCGCACTCTACTTCAATGCGATGCGATATACAACCTTGCAAGTAGGGTGAATCAACCGGACCATGGGGACTTTTCTGGTTCTTCCCGTCTAAGTGCCCTACATGACTTGGTTTTGCCAGATGCGGCGCGTTTGCTTCTTGACGAGTTTATTTCGAGAAATGCAGCGCCGAGTGGATTGGTCAACGAGAGCGTTGACCAGAACAAGACAGTTGTGGAGATTGATGAGGATGGTGCATGATACCCAGGTGGTGTTTTGAATTTTATATACCAACGGGGTCGCATCAGATCGGTGTTTTTGTTTTTTCTTCTGCATTTCCAAAGAGAGATACCCACCCCCCTTTTATACCCAATTTCCTTCTTTTTGTGCGACATACACATACACATAGGATCATTTACGACACTCGCTCAAGGGAGGATTACATTGCAACTACAACACGGCGAGACAACATCAACGATAGATGAGGGCCCAGAATCGGGATTGGCATGGATGGGATGGATGAGACGGGATGGACTGAGAGACGACATTATGGTAATGCGATTAATGACAAGGGAAACAAGGCAAAAATAATTGGGGTGAAGCCCTCAGTCATGGATGGATGGATTGGATGTAGAGTGGTAATATCCATACGATGCTGGGAAGGGCAGTCCGAGAGATGGAAGGAAAAGTACATGGTGCAAGTAGACGTAAAGATAAAGCATGAAATGATAATATGTATATGTACTTCAATTCCCAGGTCATCATTGATCCATACTGTGTCCCTCTTGACTATTCTACACTAGTAGGTGATGTAAACAAAAAGACCGAACATACAAACAAAGGGACACTGGCCATAGTCGGGATTTCCTCTTAGTCAGCAGCTGATCTTGTTGTTTGGTCTGATGAATCATATTTCGACCGCTACCAAACAAGACCTTCAATACTCGGAAAATTTTACCAAGTTCGAAAGAGATACTACCCACTTCGGAGAACATATTTGACAGTTTCCCCAGGTCGGAAATCCAGTGCCGAGGTGCTTACCAAAAGTGCGGTTCATGCATTGACAGTTTCTATGTTGGTGTGAGCCGTGTTTAGACCATTTCTCACACCACCTAACCAACTAGTCTGGCAGTTCCCGTCGATTCTTGAATGTCATTGTGATAGTTGCTTTGTTGTTGTACAAGGTATACATATATTTCAACAACCCTGCGGCCCCAACATCTCTCTTATTGTACAACATGATACACGCATCTTCCGCGGCCCTCCCTTTTGCATCCCTCGACATCTCTTCCCATCATCTCCTCTGCAGGATCTCCAAAGATCACTGAACTGATTGACCCAGAGAGATCTAGTCGTCGGGGTACGATTCCTTAATGTTCGATACGAAAGTGCAGGTTTTTCTGTCAAACCGCTTGAAATACTTGCCCGCCAGGAACTTGAGCGATTCGGGAATGAGGTTAGGATCGGTGATAATCTCGATGCTATTCTGAGCCACCCGCAAGCGGTCAATCCTAGGTCTCTTAGAACTCCTGTTGTGACTCCAAGTGTTAGTGGAAGTTGATAATAAGACAAGCTATTAAACAAGAAAGAGGGAAGAACATCAAGGGAACGACATGGCCACACGTACATGCATGTATAAAACACTCTGGCCAACTGAGGCCTTAGCTGGCCTTCTGAGTGCAGCCTGTCCCCTGAAGATCTGGGAGAAGTCGTTGGAGACTGGACTTCATCCTCGTAGCCATCGAGGTAATGCGGAACCGGAAGGCCTGCAGACCCAGCTGCCCAGCCGTTGATGATTCCGATCCATCCGTATCTCTTGTGACGGAAGACCTGGCCGATCCTGTAGCGCACGCGTTCCTGCATCTCCTGCGTGTAGCGACGGGTGACGACCGCCTCCCTCCTGTCGAGGTTGTCTAGCATGTTGAGAATCTCGCGGACATTTTCCCATCCAGCCCGGTTGCGCACGTGGGGTTGCGATGCGACGAATTGTTCGTACATTGGAAGAAGATATTTGCGAACGATCCAGGCGTCTTCGCCCCACGACATGGCAAATGAGTGCAGAAAGGTCTCAAGGTTATGGTCCCAGTGAACACTGGAAACCGGCTTGACCATCAGTTCGGCCCACATCGAGGCATACTTGGCCGCCTCCACGTTGATGTCTGGATGACCCGCCCGCAACCGCTTCGCTTCGACCTCGATGGGCTCCCCTGATCGGTCGGCGAGATTTTGAATTCGACTCGTGGCGGCTTTGATATTGGCCGCTGTTCGGAGGACGATGATTGGCACAGGTGACGCCCTCAGAAACACCTCTGACCCTTGAGTCCAGCCCAACTCGACCAGTGCCCTCCGTAGCTCATCAAGTGTGACCTCCCCATCCCACTTGTAAGGGTTCAGATACATAGTTTCCGGTTCGGCTTTGGGGTCCTCTTCCACATCACCATCCAAGGTCATACCTGGAGGAGCCTTCACAGACGCGTGGACATGGCTCGGGAATGCACAACATGCGCTTGACATGCCGAGGCGTTCGGCAACCGAAGCAAATATGGCGCTCGAGATTATGGGAAGTGACGGATGCTCGTCGTCAGACAGGGCGTGCCCTAGAAGGCAGTTCCTCAGGTTGTGGTAGTTGACGGTCTCGTTCTCCATCCCCATGAGATTCTGGGCCCTCAGCCAGCGATTCAAGGCTAGAGCCTTCTGCCTTGTCGACATGATCTTATGTTCTGGGTGCTCCAGCATAAATCTCTGAGCGAGCGTGTCCAGTGTGCTTAATATCTGTGGAGGAAAAAAGAAAGTGTGAGCTAACATGCATCCGCCGCGAGAGATGGCGTTCAACATACGTATTCAAGGTCTTGGGGCTGGTCGTGTAGAACGAACAGGTCGAATGCGCCGAGAGCACGATCGAGCCCCGAGTACGGATCGGTCCCCGTTTCATAGCACTTGGACCATACCTCTACAGCCATGCCTCTGTGGATGCTGTCCAATGCTGAATTCGCATAGTACCTGGATGAACATTTCAGTAACCGAACGGTCTTTGGATCTAGACAAATCCCACTTGGGCCGAGCAGGAATGAGATGCCACCATCAGAGGGGGATCGACTGATACACAAGACCCTTGCGTGCAGTGTACTTGAAACACCAAGCTGCATTGCCATAAGAGAGCTGCCTCGTACCTTCTGGCCAGAACGTCATCGTGGGATTCATCGACGTGACATTGCTCCAAAAGAAAGTCCTTGGCGTCGTAACCGAACTGACAGATGCGCTGGAGATTTCTCAGCTGGTGGTATCTCGTTGTGAGGATCTCGTCCAGGAGGCGTTTAATCAAGTGGTTCTGCCTTTTCCTTCGAAGCCATAGCTTCTTCCACTCGATAGTAGTTGGTCTCGGGTCCGACAGTTTCGCGAAGAAGTAGTGTTCAGGCTTCCAGAAAGTAAACGAGTTTCGGCAAAGATATCGCCATAACAGCGGTTCGTTGGCAATGTGGTAGAAACGCCGCGAGACTGGCTGAATGTTCAGGACGTTGTCCTCGGGCGAGACATATAGAAGGATGTGGCGGATGAGCTCATCGGGAAAACGGTCCAGTGAGGGGGAGGACGTCATGGCGCGGCTCTCCCAAGTGCACACCCAAGGTGTGTTGGTTGCCAATATATGTGCGCGTCTCGCAACTGCTGGTCCGGATCCTGGACGCTGAGTTGTCGGGAGCTGATTTGTTCAGGATGTCAGAGGTATGGAGAAAGAGCTCAGCTCTGGGATTTGGGGTCGAGAGTCGAGGAGACTGTCGAGCGGAAATCCAGCGATGTGCTTGTACTGGGGCAGATCGGCACAGGGAAGAGGGACGGGAGTGCAAAAGCAAAGTGGAAGCCAGAGAGACAGACGGTAACCTTTTTCTTCTTCTTCTTTTTCTTGCTCCGCGTGCCGGGATGAGGTCGAACAATCAATATGTCATCCCTCCCGTCACTTCTGCTCCGGCGTCACATTAGTGGTAAAGGCAAAACTTAGAATGGGAGGCGTCTCGGTACCTGGAATTTGAATGACGGCACCTTATCTAATAAATTTGGCTTTTATTATCGCGAGGTCAGGCAGGCACCTATGACTTGCGGCCCGTATGGTAAGGTGCCAAAAGTTCAAGTTGGGATGGCACAACGGCTTAGAAGAGATGGCCCGAGCGTCTGCTCTTACTGTGTATGCACTATGCAGTACCTTACGTAGTGTAAGTACTTACCTCTACTGCCTTTACGCGCACTTGATGTTTAAGTTGTACATATGACCCGCAGGTGTTCGTTCAATGTTCAAATAATTAGACTGAGTGTCTCGCTGCTGTCTGGGCTGCTCCGTGTTGTTGCCTGTCCGGGCGGCCGCCCTTGAGGTTGCCAAACAGTAGGTGCCGCCCTGTCCGTGTCATGATTGCTGCCCTTCCGGGTCTGATATGTATGCGGCTTCTAGTGTACAGTATGTACCTCGTGCTCGCAGCAGAAGTGACACGCCTGTAGTACGCTTTAACGCACCCCACTTTTGCCCTTAACTGATCTGGACCGCGGGGTAAAAGTGTCCCAAAATTTCCCCTTGCGGTCGGTGTCTTTGCGCCGCCTTCGTTCGTTCCGTTCCCCGTCGGTCCAGACGTCCCCTTCAGTTCTGTGCTATCGTGTCGTGTCAGAGTGAGTCTCAACCCCCCCCTTCCTTCCCAACATTCCGTCCCTCTTCGGACTATTGCGACCATACACGTCCAAAGTGAGTCACAGCCCGGGCCTCTGACATAACCCGCGAAATCGTTATCTTTAGGAACCCTTCAGTCGCAACCGAACACCCCCCGACGTTCTGTCGACACATTTCAACATGGAGCAGGTTACCGAAAAAGTCACCGAGACCCTCAAGAAGGTCGCCATTGGCGGCGACAAGCCCCAGAAGGAGAAGAAGCAGAAGAAGGAGAAGAGTGCCCCCGCCGCTGGCGGCGATGCCGGCCCTCTTGAGATGAACCCTCCTCCTGCCTTTATCCAGGAGCGTCTCGACCTGTTCGACAAGCTTTACAAGGAGCAGCAGGAGGAGCTGGCCAAGCGCCCCCGCGATGACATCCTCATCACCATGCCCGACGGCACCACCAAGACCGGCAAGGCCTACGAGACCACCCCCGCCGAGATCGCAAAGGGCATTTCCAACAGCCTCTTCAAGCGCACCGTTGTCGCCAGAATCGACGGAGAGACACTATGGGATCTGGAGCGTCCTCTCGAGAAGAGCTGCAAACTAGAACTCCTCGACTTCAACGATGACCAGGGCAAGTTCGTTTTCTGGCACTCGAGTGCCCACATCCTCGGCGAGGCCTGCGAGCGCAGATTCGGCTGCTCCCTGTGCATTGGCCCCCCTGTTGACAACGGCTTCTACTACGAAATGGCTCTTCCCGGCGGTGCCGCTGTCCAGTCTAGCGACTGGGCGCCCCTCGAGAACATCGTCACCAAGATCGTCAAGGAGAAACAGCCTTTCCAGAGACTGGAGATGAGCAAGGAGGATCTGCTCAAGATGTTCGCCTACAACCCATACAAGCAGCACATCATCAAAGACAAGATCCCCGACGGCACCAGAACTACTGTCTACCGTAACGGGCCCCTTATCGATCTCTGCCGTGGTCCTCACGTCCCCGACACCAGCAGGATTGAGGCTTTCGCCATCATGAAGAACTCCTCTTCCTACTTCCTTGGTGACGCCAACAACGACTCCCTCCAGCGTATCTATGGTGTCTCGTTCCCCGACAAGAAGCAGATGGCCGCTCACAAGAAGTTCCTTGAGGAGGCTGCCAAGCGCGATCACCGCCTCATTGGCAAGCAGCAGGAGCTCTTCTACTTCGAGGAGTGCTCGCCCGGCTCCGCCATGTGGCTGCCCCACGGTATGCGCATCAACAACGCCATCATGGAATACATCAAGGAGGAGTACTGGAAGCGCGGTTACGACGAGGTCATGACTCCCAACATGTTCAACGTCGCTCTTTGGGAGCAGTCCGGCCACTTGGCTCACTACAAGGATGACATGTTTATTCTCGACGTTGACAAGGAGCAGTTCGGTCTGAAGCCCATGAACTGCCCTGCTCACGCCATGATGTTCCGTCACCGTGACCGCAGCCACAAGGAGCTTCCCCTCAGGCTTGCTGATTTCGGTGTGCTCCACAGAAACGAGGCCAGTGGTGCTCTCTCTGGCCTTACCCGTGTGCGCAGATTCCAGCAGGATGACGCTCATATCTTCTGCCGTGAGGATCAGATCAAGGCCGAGGTTGCCGACCTCTTCGACTTCATGAAGTCCTTCTACGGCATGCTTGGCCTCACCTTCAAGCTGAAGCTCTCTACCCGCCCTGAGAAGTACATGGGTGAGATTGAGACCTGGGACCGTGCCGAGGCTCGCCTCAAGGAGGCTCTCGATGAGTTCGTCACTGCTACTGGAGGCACCTGGGAGCTGAACGAGGGCGATGGTGCCTTCTACGGCCCCAAGATCGATATTGCTGTTTTGGACTGCCTCAACCGCCCCTGGCAGTGTGCCACCATCCAGCTCGACTTCCAGCAACCCATCAACTTCTCTCTAGAGTACATGACCGCTGATGCCCAGGTCAAGCAGGATGAGGACAAGGCTGCCTCCAAGACTGCCAAGCCTGAAGCTCCTAAGGAGGAGGAGGAGGCTCCCAAGGAGGGTGAGGAGAAGAAGAAGAAGGCTCTTCTTGTCAAGAAGCCCCTTACCGCCGGCTGCGCCCGCCCCGTCATGATCCACCGTGCCATGGCTGGTTCCATCGAGCGCTTCACTGCCATTCTTGCCGAGCACTTCGCTGGCAAGTGGCCCTTCTGGATGTCGCCCCGCCAGGTCATGGTCATCCCCGTTGGCATGGGCTTCCTTGATTACGCCAAGGAGGTTGCCTTGACGCTCAAGAAGGAGAAGATTCACGTCGGTATGTTTTCCCTGACTCACCTCCGTTATTGGGCAAACAAAAATCAAATACTGACACAAAAACCACAACAACAGATGTCGATAGCAGTGGCAACACCCTCCAGAAGAAGATTCGTTCTGCCCAGCTTGCTCAGTGTAAGTCGCGAGCCTGTTCCCCTTTATCAAACTTGCGCGTTCTAATGACGCACCACAGACAATTTCATCTTCGTCGTCGGCGACGACGAGAAGACCAACCGCAAGGTCAACATTCGTTACCGTGACGACACCTCCACCCAGGCCCGTGACGTGCCCTACTCTCTCGAGGAGGCCGTCGAGAAGCTTCGCGCGCTCAAGGCCGATCGCGGCATGTACAACCCTTTCCCTGCCCATAACCCCAAGAAGGACGAGGCTACCAAGGAGGAGGTCAAGGCTTAAAGCTCCAGCTCAAGTTAGGGAGTACATGAAGCAAAAAAAAAAGCAAAAATTAAAAAAATTTAAAAGTTCATGTTGGCAGCAAGGGGACGGCGTAGGCAGGAGTATGGGTTATAGTCGTCTAGCATATGCTTGTTACAGAAGGGTAGAGAAAGAGGCGAATATTTCTGTTGAATCTTATACTAAGGAGCCTTTGATATTCTTTGGAAATGGTTTGGTGGCCTGTCGCTCGGGCGCACTGGTGCTTCTGCATAGACCTAAACACTGCAATTCAGAAGAAATGATTCCGCGTAGACGGGGTACGGACAAGAAGGCGAAGGCGGGAAAAAGGGAGAGGGTATTTGTATTCTAAAATAGAAAAGCGTGTACACACTCGTACTACACAATGCACCCAACCCGATAGTGACCAGAAAGGAAAATGGCAGGAAAAAAAAGAGCAGGCATGATAGTCATTTCAACAATTCTCAGAAACCCCCCAGACCCACGGCTAGTTCCTTCTTCTTCTTCTTCTTTCACTTTTTAAGTTTTCTTTTTGTCTCCGCTTTCCACCTGTTAAAGAATTCCCCGTCTTTTGCTTTCCTGCCCAAGATCTTTCTGTCTCTCAATATTCCCTTTCTCTTCACCGACGTCCAACTCGTAGCGGGCCTCTTCCTTATTTGAAATCCAGACCTTTTCCTTTCCATAAACCAACTTAATCATTCCCGTCCCTCGTTCCTTTCGTCACAAATTCGTAGACCCTAATCCGTCTTTATGCTTTCAAGGCTTGGGAATATGAATGGTCTTGCTTGTCATCAAGCACCCGTGGAGCATAAAGATGAGGACAATGGGGTGGAATTCGAGCGCGGTGCCCTGGAACATGGTACCCCACGGAAGTGAATCATGAATCCAGCCTTGTGACACCCAGTAGGCCATAATGGCGTCCAGACCGAGCGTCGTGGGGATCGGCGTGCCCTCAAAGTAGGCAGCCTTGCCATTGGCGTCCTTCGGGATGGCGGTCGCGGTCACGTTAAAGCGGGCGAGGCGGGTGAGGCCACAGAGGATGAAGAAGCCAAGGCAGAGATGGTCGAGGGGGGTACGGATACCGATGGCGAAGGCAACGATAGCGGGTGCGACGCCGAAGGAGATCTGTTGGTTGGATGGGTTATGAGTTAGAATGCTTGATGTCCCGGAGAGGGTCGGGGTCGAGGAATTGGGAAAGCGTGGGCAATAATGGTGTACACGTACCAGATCAGCCAGCGAGTCCAGCTCTTGGCCCATCATGCTGCTCTTCT